GTAGGATATGTTTTGGACAGAACATGGCGGATTTCTTTTGTTTTCTCTAGAAACTGATCCCACAATGCATTGAATATCAAGTAGTGACGTAAAAGGTTCAGAAGTCTATTAGTACCATCGAAAATATTGCCTCAAAACACTTTCATCGCAAGTAACATCTGAATATGCTAGGTTAGGGATCTACATTGTTGGAAATCGGGTTTGCATGGTTAAAACTACTTTGTCATCCTTGCGTTTTGCCTCCATTCCTGGTCTACAACGAGTCAGCAAACTGAATCGTTAAACCAGTTGGAGACATCGCGTATCACCAATACCGCGACATAWCAAACAAAATGAAAGAAGAAATCATGAATGGTAATTTACAACATAAGATCTGGTTGCCATTCGAAACACTACACCAAATTTGGAAATTGTGCTTGTTATTCGACATGCATGAAATTCGAAACCCAGGAAATCTTGGGATCTTGGGGAAACAACAAAGGGATGCCCTGGCTGGGAGCCATATCCCTTGATACATATGTAGATACTACTACTAAAATAACGCAGTTGTAAAATTGCGAGGTTTGTGCACAGTGCAGCGAGAGTCTCATTCTAAGTTGTCTGTAGCTTGTTGCGCATGCTTGTGGTCAGCGTCAGCTCGGACACTTTGTTATCGTTTTTCTTGAACCATTGGAAGATGACCAGTGCAAGCAAATCAACGAACTCCAACAGTGACAAGACACTACATCCCAAATACAGACCCATATTGCCACCAACATTTCCTGTAAATATAAGAGAACTTATTCATGACATTGTGAGGACGTTATTCCACAGGCACAGAATTCAGAATGTTCCGATTTGAGAGGAAATGAAGCGATAAGTACTCTCCCGTTGGAGTTTCCGTGCATGAGACTCACCAGCAAGATCTAGGTCATCAAATGCAGGCATTTCTTGTATTATTTCAACGTCCGTTGTAGCAAAGAAGATAGTCACACGAGCATATCTACCTCTGCAACAAAATAAACGATATTTCAGGCAATATTTATTGATCCATCGTTGCGATTAAAAGCTGAAACCCTTTATGGTATCATCTAAACGACTTCAAAGTTCATATAGTCAATTGAAACTAACACCAAAATTGAGTGTGCAAAGGAAAATTATTAGAATTGTCATATAGTTAGAATTCATGAACTGTTCAGTCCAAAAGGGCCTTGTTTACTGCCAGGTTTCACCACATACAGCACTATTCAGTGTTTTAACAGAATAGCAAGATTTAATAAAAAAACCGAAATAGTCTCCTTCACTGTTACCTGCGCCATCTTGAAAGGTAGCCGTGCCTTTGCATCGAAGCGAGATAACCGTTGAGGGTGCAATGATAGAAACCTGTGAAGAATTGTCTGTAGGTGTGACAAGAAGGTTTATATCGTTGCACGCTCAACGGTCGTCTCGCTTCGATG